CAGAACCGATGCGATGGCTGGCAAATTGTTCTAGTGAGGAGCAGAGACCACATGGAAATGAAAAGCATCATCGAGGCAGGTACGTCCACCTGGCACTTCACTGGTAGCTTCGCTAGACAAAGTCCGTGAAATGTTGTGTGTCCCTACAATTGCTGCACAATTAAAAGCACCGAGCGTGAATTGAGAAGTATAGGAGTGTGTGGCTCCGCTTAGGAACAGGGTTTGACACATACATGAAGCCATAACGGCGCTAAAACCTGAGAGGCAGGCCTAACAAACGAAAGTTAAAAAACTGGTGAAAGGTGCGGTGGGAGGGGGAGGGAAAATCGACTAAGCGAGCCTGAAAGGCCACCTAACAAGCCTCGAGAAGCAAGCCTAACAAACGAAAAGCAAAGAAAGGAGAGAAAGGCGGGCGGGGAACAAGGGGCTGGTTTTGCCAATAAGCATGGCACGTAGCCCAAATAGCCGTATCGGCGCTCCCTTGACTCGCGCAAGGCCTAAGTTACACATATCAAACCTCTAGCAACGAGCAAAAGACCTAGCACAAGAAGAAAAGCCGAAGGAAGAAAAGCAGCGCACGCAGCTCAAAAATTGGAAACCATGTGGAAATGCTTAGTCAGCACTCTCGGGCAAAACCGATAGTCCGGAGGGCTCCAGCGCCAAACGAATGTCAGTGGAAGTGCCCCTTTCGGGTCTGTGAGAACAGCACCCGCAAAAATGGGTTCACACAGTGACGGACTTAGATATAGAGCTCCCAAGAGCAAGAGTCAGTTTTGGTAGCCCTGCAATCGTCCTTGACGTAAGGTGATTCGTCGGAAAAGTATCATCGATGCAGGTACGTCCAGCTGGCCAAGCTGGATATCCCATTTCACTGGTAGCTTTTTTGGACACGGTCCAAGTTCACTGGCGTTGGCTGAGGGCAAACAGGGTCCCATCCGCATCCGTGCGTCACACTCTGGCCCACGCTCAATAGTATATAAAAGGTAAGTGTCCAAAAAGAGCAAACTCAAAAGGTTCAAGATTCCTGGATGAAACCTGAACGTATCCGCGTCCTGGCGCCTAAGAAGTTAGTAGGTAGTTGCTCTACCTCCCTCCCCCTAAAACAACAGAAAGCCCTCAACACTTAGGCATGAATTTGCTGATTAAGCAATGGTAACATATGGCAGTTGCCAGTCATTTGGAACAAGTGGCTGTTGTTTGTTAGACACTTATGCTTTTTAAAATGCCACGCGAGTGTATTAACGCCTGCTCTGATCTGCTCAAGGTCTTTACTGTGGCTGCAGACCCCTAAGCCCGCTGTTGGGCCACACTTGATGACTTCTCATACGTCTTCCCGCACGCCTGGGCAACTCCCATACAGGCACCTTGGGCGAGGAGCTGGCATCATCATTTGTGCAACAGCGGGGAAAGGCCCAAAACCCAAAAAACCGTTGTCCAGTTGCAACTTCGTCTTTCAAAAGCCTTCTCGCAGAAGTCATGGGGCCTTCTCATGACCCAAGTGGCAATAAGCTTTAGCCTTGAACACACAGCTACTCCTCTCACTTCTCACAAGAACTGCTACATTTATATACATACACTGGGGCATCGATATGGATCAAACTGTCGAAGAAACTTCCAGTATGTTTTGCCAATCTTTTTGCCCACAACTTTGAATTGCGTTGAACTGCAGGTCATCCCACAGCTTGAATACTGTGCCGAATGAACGCCTTTTAGGCTTGGGAGGTCGCTACTAGTAGAAATGCACTTGTTCCTAGTAGAGATGCCCTTGTTACTAGTAGCTTCTTGCTACTAGTAGCGATGCACTTACTGAATGCCGAAATCCCCACCCACTGAGATCCCCGCCACAAAGGCCTCAAGCAGGCCATCCCACTTGCCATGGTGGCACTGGCACCCCGCATGATCACTGTCCTTTCCATCGAAATACACAGGTGACTGAAGGACCAGTTCCCAAGCATCACTGCAGTCCCTTCTCAGCTCACCCGTACCCCAACAAAGAAAAAAGAACTCAACTGCAAACACATCCCACCATGGATTGAAAATCGTTGAAAGTATCTCCGCTTCATAAAACAGCGTTTGTTTCAGATGGGCAAAGTACCATATGCACCACCAAGTTCGCATAAAACCTCCCTTCAAGCTTGGCATAAAGAAACACAGACACTTTGAGCCAATCCAAGCGATGTGAGGCATTATCGTGATGGATAGTGATGCTGGTCTGGTCATCTCTCTCAAACCAGGAGTGCATCCATTAATCCATTACATAGGAACATGCCCTTGCACTCTTCTGCGTTGGATTGCCGATTGCCCGTGCAAAATAGTTGCATATGTGGCTCTATGTCTTCAAGACATGGACGACAAGAACAAAATGGGTTGACTGACTCATGGGAATACCGGCCTTGAACTTAATGGAGTAGTTCCATCTAGTATTGAGGTTCGCCTATGCTAGCTCTGTTCAGGTGTTTGGCTTCTGGAACAGCCACTGCAAGCCTGCTCTTTGCGAGGAGAAAACAAACAGTTGGCAGCGCCAATGCCCTTGACATCGGCGGCCTCAGCAGATTTATTGAACACTACTCAACTGAGGCAGCAACTCCCAAGAGCTCGCGGCTCGTGATCGCGGATCTTCTCTGAATTGCGGCAAACCCACCGAAACTAAAGGACTGATATACTTTTGATTGGCTTGTCTCAAAATGTCAGAATGTCTCAAATCTCATCGATATTTATCTTTTGTCTCAAAACTTCCTGACCTCAAACTCTTGGGGCTGCGACTTTAGTTTGAGGAAGCGCAAGTGCATTCAGGCAAAAGGCATGCATGCAGGCATTGCTGGCTTGATTTGCGCATGTTGAGCGCACTGGCACTTTTCTGCCTGAGTATATACCATTTCAGACAGCGCAAACAATAGCATATATATATATGCATATATATATATATACTGCTTTTGATGAAGGTTGGTGAAGGGTGCTCCCGGTTTTCCACTCTCTGGTTGAAATAGGGTATTGGAGCCGTTGCAACTCAATAACTTTGAGCCGCCAAGCCCGCCAGAACTTCCAGGGATCGCTCCAGTCAGCATCTGCTTTGTCCGGCCGCGCTGGCCTCTCAGCCCACTGATCTGCGGAGCGCCTGGCTCATGGTCAACCTACTCCATTGAAATGCAAGGATTCCTACATGAGCCTCTAGTAGCTTCTTGTTACTAGTAGTAAGGCCAGGAGCCCCTAGTAGCGTCCTTGCTCCTAGTAGTAAGGCCAGGAGCCCCTACTAGCGTCCATGCTCCTACTACATGCAACTGCCCCCAAGTCAAGAACTTGATCCTTCAACTGTCTTCAAAAGAAATCAAACACACCACAGCGGGCCAACTCCTCTGAGGCCTGTTGAAAGTTGAAGATAAAGTTGCGCTTGTGAACTCCTCTGAGTTCTAAGTTATAACAGCACATGGCCCATATCTGCCCTCCGTGAGGAGTGACGTTTGAGGTCTACTGAGCAGTGGAGAGACAACTCCTGTGAATCGTCGTAAGGCAGGGCACCAGATCTGTGAGGGCTCGTCTATGTGAGTCAGTGAAGTGGGTCAAAACTGAGAAGAACAACGATGAAATCGGATGAAACATCCAACAGAAGATCTGGCGAAGCAGGCGGTGTGCTGTGGCCTTCCACCAGAAGCTTATCTGGTAGGAAGAGGCCTAAGATGCGGGTCTTCCAGCACATGTTGCATTGTCAAACCCAAGGGATTGCATGTTGTTGAAAGTGTTTCAGACTGTATGAGGGTCTTCAAATCATGGAGTAGATGTCAGGTACTTTCTGCTCTCAAACACGATTGGAAGAACAACAAACTCCAGTCTTGTCCACCCAATTTGGAGGACCATTATTTCTCCTTCCGGCAAGGCCACAGGGTGTCGCTGGACTTCCATGTCAACATATTGTTGCAAACCGAATTCTTCAAAAGGAAAATACAGCGACGATATGTGATGTTGACTTATGGTACCACGTCCCGATCAAGAACAAAACACCGGTTGTGTCTGGGCAAATGGCCTCAATTGCATCACAAACAAAAACTTGGCTCTGTGTGCCTTGCAATGAATGTTAGCTGTTACTCAGGTATGCCTGAGCTGCAAAACAGACTTAGGGGGCCTGGGAGAATGTAGAACCGGGTTTCTGATGATGACCTCCAAAAGTCCCCTAGGAGCCACCAAAAACATCTAAAGTGAGAGCTTGGGATTTGGGGCAGCTGTTGTTTAGAATGGTTGCTTGTGGTCTGGAGGTTCTCACGCCGGTTAAGGAATCTATTCTCTTGTATTGAAAAGGTTCATGTTTCTGTATCAAAACAACCAAGTGGGCCAGGGCCACTCCCTTGATTGTCTTCTCGGGTATCGGTCAAGTATCGTTCAGGGTATGGTTCTAAACACGGTGTCGAGCTTTGCACTTGGTAAATAGCAACATCACAACGTACAGAGTCGCTTTTGGAAGGTCTCGTGGTATTGGCTATAGCTGAATTTATCTGAATGTGTACCTCTTTTTGACTGGTTTACTTTACTAGCACGTCTTGTCTCTGCGACATTCTGCTCTTGACCGGAATCTTACGAAATCTCCTGACGAAGCTGCGCCGAGCCACTGGAACTCGGGCAGTTGAAACAAGCCCGGGGCCAAACGGTTCTGCGCTGCGATACGAGCGGACTCCTGGCATGCTCTTGGACTCTTGGAGGATCAACTCTACGAAAACAAACAAAGGTCGCTGCAAGACTGCCGCGTTCAGGATCTATTTATATGAAGTAGTCGGTAGGTCGTCCCTTGGTGACTATTGCTTTCAAAAATTTGCAACACCATACCCCTGTGCCTGGCCGCTCTTAGTGGCAACAATCCACTGCACCGTGCTGCCACCCCTGCAGCTGAGACGAATGATAAAACCTTGCTTGAATGCTTGAATGCTTGATTGATTGATTAATTGAGTGATTGATTGATTGATTGATCCATCATTCGACATGGATCCGCATAGCTTGCGTAGAACAGCTGTGTTCTAGCCGCAGCCAACGTCGCTGGCTCGCTGTCGATCGCCACAGCCCAGCCTTCGGGAGATCCGGACGGACCAGGCGAGGAAAACACGCCATCGCCTCCATGAGCGCTCTCCATAAGCCTTCCACAGGGGATATGGGCCTTCTCTTGTGATTTCCTGCGTTGAATTCCGCATTAAAGCTAGAAAGGTATCCAAATGATTGCACACAGGAAAAAATAGAAACAAATATTTGCACTGACAGAGCAACTGAGCAACAGTGCGAATTCCCCACCTTCACGATGCGGTCCTTGCTCGCCTCCCAATTTTGCAGCCAATGGTATAAGGTCTGAGAGTAGTGATATCCTCAGACGTCTCTCTCCAACGCGCAATCGAGCTGGGATGATAGAGCAGCTGTTTCGGGGTTGGTAGGCAGAGATTGTGTGGGATCGTCTATCCTCCAAATTGAAACCACCATGATCTTGATACTACGTTTCTAAAAACCTGCCCTTTCTACCCCGCGGTGTAGTTTTTGAGACAAAATGTCTGAGGTATGCTTTCTTGGGGTAGTGTGGGTTCCTGTTTATCTATCTGGGCTGCTCGCTGTGTGACTTCTTCGGACATCTTTGAATGCATGTGCTTCTTTGTTGTTCTGCAGTTCTGCGGTAAGTTCACAACACGGCGCTGTGGAAGCGTTAAGGACAAGCCTTCTTTGAGCCACGCAACATGATGCGCCAATTGGAAGAACGTATGCGTTTTAATGTCAGTCATATCTATATATATATATACTACTTGGTTACACCAAAGAAATGGCAGCCGTGCTCTACCTTTGCAAACGGCCATGTCTGTGTGTGACACCCTTGGAGTCACGGGGGTCTAAATTGCAGGAGGTGACAGAATGGCTGTCGCCAACGAAGCTCCATGCAGTTGACTAGGATATCATGGCTGATCACCGCGACGTACCTGCAAATTGTGATTTTCGTAACCACGATCCCATTCTAGAGTCTTGGAGGCTGTTTCAGGATGAAGAGGTTGTGCTGCTGTCAAGGGCTAATGGCTAATGCTCTCGTCGTCGACGTCGTCGCCTTTGGAGCTTTGAACCACACTTTTTCCTGGAACTCTTAGGCGTTCATACCTAGGTGATCCTAGGTGAGTGTGTGGCATGTGGCATTCAGTTCAGTACGCAATGTCTCGAGTGTGTGATTCTTGATGGTCGGTGGCAGCAGAAGGAAAGGCTCACAATTGGACAAGCAAGGAACTGGTACTCCTCCATGTCCTATTCCAACAGTGTCCAGCATCTTGACGCCCCCCCGCTAGCCAAGGCTCCCATGTTGTGGACGCTTTGTACCTGCACAGGTCAAGGCTGTCAGGAGTTTTCCGGGTTTTCATCCATCACCTGTGATGAACCTATTGGCTCAAAACGCCATCCAAGCAAGAACTTGCTTCCCAAAAATTCCACCAATGATGCGCGAATCTCAAAATGGCACATGAATGGGTGCAAAGCCCTACAGAAGCTTGGAACGCTCAACACCGGCATTTCCCAAGACATGAAATACTAGCTTCTTGTTACTACTAGTAAGGCACTTGTTACTAAAAGCGAGGCACTTGTTACTAGGAGCTTATTGTTTCTACTAGCTTCTTGTTACTATCTGAATTATCATGACATCAATGTAGCTTGGATGAAAACTGTGAAGCCGTAACAGGCCCTTGGCCCAAAGACTCCAACAAACATCCCAACCATGCTTGTCAGAACCAAATTGCAACCAAACTTGCCAAAGCGGTCTTTGTAAATCCTTTTGTTGCTTGTTTGTCATCTGCAGATGCTTTTTGATCTGCGTAAAGTCTTTCACCTCTGCTGCCAGAACCACAGGCTTTCAGCCCAGCTGAGTCCGGGAGTCATCCGCTGCGGCACGGCAGTACTCAATGGAGTGGAGCAAAGAAGTTGCTTAAAACAACACGCTGGAACCCTGCCACCACTCCAATTCTCAAGAATTGCTAAGCTCAAAATGTTGTGATTGATCTTATTTTTCATTGTGCAGATCGCGCAGCACCAGTTCGCTCGGCTTTGACTGGAAGAGTCGGCCTTGTGCGAACTCAGGCAAAAGAGGATCTGAAGGGCTTTACATAATGCTGCAGCGTTTGGAGGGCTCTTTGGCGCCCGAGGTGAAATCACCCACAGAATCCATTCTCTTGTCATCCCCCAAAGCTTGAACAGCTGTAGCGATCGCAAATTTCACTGCATCTTGCTGCTCCTTTTTAGCTGTGTCGTAGAATCCGTGTCCTACAGGACATGAAACGTATACAAATAATGTAGCAACTGCTTTCTGGTGCTCAAGCTGTTCGACTACATAAGCTGATTCTGAAATCCCAATCTATTGGCTCGCAACAGGTGGTCCCGCAGGCAGAACATGTCCATGTTCAAGCGGACGTTGAGCACACGAAAGCTTAGTTTTCGGAAGATTTACCCAACCCGCTAATCATTCCCAACCTCAAACCTCATGGTCTTTGGTTCCGCTTTCAAGCCAGGCAGAGTTGCGGTATATCTGGAAGCATCTGTCTGATGTTTTGTTCCAAGGATCTGGCGCTTCTTCTTTTTTTTTTCTTTTTCTTCTTCTTCTTCTTCTTCTGCTTCTTCTTCTCCTTCTCCTTCTCCTTCTCCTTCCTCCTTCCTCCTTATTCCTTCTTCCGCGAATGGTTTTTGAGGTTTTGGTTTGTGCCGTTGTTGCTTGCTTCGAATTCGATGTCAAGCAGAACGGCTGTGCAAAGGATTCATGCCTTGATGCCCGTGTAAAGTCCTTGGGTCTTCTTCGAGTGGATCAGGTTTCCATCCAGGGTGATCTCGAAGTTCCCGGTGGTGCCGGGATCCTGCATCTGTACCACTTTCACACCGCTGGGAAATATAGCAAGGAGCATATCCTCAGTGGCCTTGGCATGCTTGCCATAACCTTCAGGGTTGCACTTGTCACTTTTTCCCGAAAGCATTGCGAAGGATTCTTCCGGAAAATCTCTTGAACACTGACACTTCTACACTTACACTTACACACTGACACTTCCACACTTGCACTTGAACACTGACATTTCTACACGTACACCTGAACGCTTACGCTTCCACACTTACACTTGAACACTTACACTTCTATTACACTTGAACACTTACACTTCTATACGTATGCCAGTGTAAGTGGAAGAGTGAAAGCATCCAACGGCAAGTATCCAAGCGCAAAAGTATGCAAGTGTAATGCAATATGCAAGTGTATGCAAGTGTAATGCAAGTGTGAGTGCACGGGAGATGTCCTAATGAAAAACATTTCCCCACTTTCTTAAAGGCGGAGGGTGGGACGAACAGCGTCAACCGAAAATGCAACCCTCTGCGGAGATCGTGCGTGTGGAGTGCGCGAAATGCAGGCGAGAGCGCGATTTGTCCGGTCCCGGCGCAACCCTCTGCGGAGATCGCGCGCGTCGAGTGCGCGAAATGCAGGCGAGAGCGCGATTTGTGCCCTGCGCGCAACCCTCTGCGGAGAGCGTGCGTGTCGAGCGCGCGAAATGGCGAGAGTGCGATTTGTCCGGTCCGCGCGCAACCCTCTGCGGAGATCGCGCGTGTCGAGTGCGCGAAACGCAGGCGAGAGTGCGAATTGTCCGGACCGCGCGCAACCCTCTGCGGAGATCGCGCGTGTCGAGTGCGCGAAATACAGGCGAGAGTGCGATTTGTGCCCTGCGAGCGCAACCCTCTGTTGAGATCGCGCGCGTCGAGTGCGCGAAATGCAGGCAAGAGCGCGATTCGTCCTGGCCGCGCGCCTCCCACAACACTTCTCTTTGGCGCCCGACACGGACCATCTTACAACCGACAATCTGCGTAGCTAACAGCCCTTACCAGCGGTGAAGACCAGCAGCAGACATAGACACACACTTGAGAAGGTTGCTCCGTGGAGCTTGTCTTCAGGCAATTCGCGGTGAGCATTAGCCCTTTAAGTGAATGCTTAGCACTTGTCACTTGACTTGCAAAACCGCAGGAATGAAAGGTCAGCGCAACTGAATGTTTGAACAAACGCATTAGCTCGGCTCTATAAAATATGTTAAAAATTTGCGCAGGTACGTTTTCACGGCAACATGGATGGGTCTTCGTTGGCCCATGCCATCCATGTGCCCATGGGCCGCCTGCTGTTGCAAACTGTACATTGACAATGAAAGGAAGGAGAAATAGTAGAGAGCAGTGCCCCTGGAAACGGGGTTTGACACACACAGAAAGCCGTAATCGGCGCAACTAGTAAAAGTGTTGAGCGTACTGTCAATGAGCTCTGCAATGCGTGTACCCTGCGTGAAAACAGGTTTCGGGGAGTTTTCCACCGTCTTTGCAAGCGACCTCTGTTTTGTGGAGAACTCTGGCAACGTGCTTCCAGTTGGGTCGTGGCTTCTTGTTGTGTTTTTGCTCGGTGCGCTTCTCGTCATCTCTCGTATGACTGATGCTGATAGCAGCAGAGGCAGTGCTGGTGTGACTGATGCTGATAGCAGTGCTGTTTGTGGAAAAAGGAC